TTTTCAAAAACCTGAAAAAAAACATACTTCAAATGAGGTGCACGCCTTATTTTTTTGCCTCGAGGTGTGCGCCTCATTTTTTTTGCCTCACAGATTGAGCCTTGAGATACAGAAGTTGTGCCTCACTGTGAGGCAAGCCTCAAAGCGGGCCTCAGCAGGGTTTTTTCATACCATGGGAAGGGGCAATACCATGCTGAAGGAATCCATGAAATTCCACACAAAATTTACTTCTATCACATCCTATGCAGATTACCTCAAAAATAGCATGAGTAAAGAATGCCTTTCACACCAGGTCCCACAAAATGAGGTGCACTGGGAATTGCTCAACCTAACTAAACATAGTTAACCAGATTTTTTAATCCTGAGCCAAATAGTTTTGAAAGGAATTTTGAAGAAGTAACAACAAATATATTGAGAAAATTGAGATTTTTTTTTTTTTAATAACCGTGGATGTCAAGGCCAGCTTGCGAGCACCTCGACTAATCTCACGAGACCCTAAAGTTTACGATCGGGTACTTACCTTAGTAGCCCCTGAGGGGAAGAAAATTGAGATTTTGAGAGAACAATAACAATAGCTTTTGAATATTCATACCTTCATTGGGGTAACATTATAGGTAGATACACCGGTCATGGGAGTTGAACTTCGATTTGTAAAATGCAAGAGCACTCTCTCCTAGCTTGACCCTCACCTGAAGTCAGATACGATAGAAATTTGATTAAACATTTAAAACAAGGTAAGTTACCTTCAATATGTTCAAACGTAAGGAAAAATAAACATTTTCGCAGATATGTGCGTAACATAAGCACCTCTCTCTTTTTTTGGCACAAATTTCCAGGGCATTCCATCAGCCACATCAGCATTGAACTGTACAACAATCTCCCTGTAAGCACAAGATCAAAAGGTCATCCAAACTTGACATACATAATGCAAGATTCACAAATTCTTACTGATTCTAAGCCCTTGTTTGGGCTCCATTAAAAATGCATTTTGGTCAAAAATTCATTTTTGATTAGTAATATATTGGAGAATGTGGGGTTTTAAAAAAAAAAAAAGGTTTTGGGTCCACGTGTAATATTATTTTATTAAAGAATGTGTGGTTGAAAATAAATAGAGAAAATGCATTTTTGGAGAATGGTAGCCAAACG